GAGATATGCAGGAGGACAAACTGGTTTTACCCTCAGACACGCAGGCGGAGGAACGGCAGCTGTTTAATGGAGAGAAAAATTAAAGGCTGGGCTGCAGAAATGGAAACACTCTGCGCCGTTCGGCTGCTTTGAGGCCGTTAGTATTCTCCACCAGGCTTCAGCCATGAATACATTTAATATTCACAGAATGTTTCAGCACACAGGCATGCATCACGCTCTAATCTGAGTGTGGGGTCTGCTGGGAATGCACAACAGAAAATGTGTGAAAAAGAACCAGCAATGCGTTAACTATCAGAGACACTTAAAGAAAACCTTTTAGAAAAAAGTTTACACGAAGCCACTGGGGAAGAGCTTCTCCAACTTCACATCAGGGTATTCCACAACTGAGGTCTTTGGTACCAAGCTACAGCCAATCGACTTCCAGGGGCCAGGTATGCATTGCATTGTGGGATGTGGAGGAGTAAAAAGACTTCAGCATCTGTCTAAAACTGGACCCTGAACTGACGTATAGGATCACCTCACTGTTCTCTCAGTGATACCCAGGAAATAATACGATACTCTATACTATTTTCAATACTATGGGGATAAAAAAAGCCAAATAATTAAAATGGAAAATATATGTATATTTCTTAAGAAGAATTCTCCGTTTTTAATCTCAACATGCATTTTCAACAAAATTATAGATTCTAAAAGTTGAATAATTGCTGAAAGATTAAAAATCATATTTTAAGGTTAATTGAGGTGCTATTCTTTTAATTTGAAAGTAATCTAGAAATCGAAAACTAACAATAGCCAAAAATATAAACACAACATTTAGTATCCAGACCATTTCAAAGTATTATTGTATTTGGATACCATGTTAGAATATCAATACTTTTAATAAGCCTACTATTGGCTTTTAAATAATTGTTATTTGAAATAAATCAAACAGTTGAAAGCCTCCTTTATGAAGGAGACAAAGGTTGAAGGTCAGACTACAAACAAGTACTAGATCTCAATCATATAGAAAGCATTTGACCTAAAAGGTTTGGAAACTGTCTACCTTTCTTTCACTGAGAGGAATCACCAAAAACCTTTTTTTCCGGACAAAATCTATTTAGTTTAAATACTGTTGAGCAAGAAAAAACCCTGAAAACAATAAATGGTTATTTTGTTTTTCTTGTTTTTCATGGGAACAAAACTGATGTTCCCCACCCCCAGTATTATTTTGGTTGGAGCAAAAAAGGTTGGATCAGAAGTACCTTAATGGTCCAATTAGTAAGGAAAGTGAATTGTAGGTCAAGCTGACTTCTCCTCTGCCAAACTGTGGTGGAACCTAAATTAAACTCCACCAAAAGCAAACCAATCTCTTTCTTCTCCACATTCATTCATTCTGAATTCCTTTTAACTCTGGATTTGCACAACAATTCGATTTTATTATCTTGTTTTGACAAGTGTTAATTTGTTTCCAGTATCTTGTTTTTTGGGTCATAATTAATGTCTGATGACAAGGTTTTGATAGAAGCAGACAGTTGAGTCAACCCAAACCCCTCATTACTGCAGATGGAGCTCTCTTCCTTCCATCCATCTCAGGCTTCATGATCCTATCACTATTTAACAAGACACTGAAACTGATTGACCTGAGGAAAAAAATCTCTAACTTGAAGATAAACATACTTTAGAAAACAAACCCTCCCTTGTATTTGTAATGTTGTATCAGAATATTCCTACAAGCTTCATTATGCTTACAACAATAAAACCCCAAAAACTAGACCTCAGCAGATTCTTTGATTGTCCCAGAAGATTAAATTCCCTGGTTAAAATATTTTTGAGGCAGAAATGCCAGAAGAATGTGATCTGATATTTTATCCAACTCTGGGTATCAGTACCTCAGTAGCTCTGGCTGGCCTGTAGGGGGCGCAGCATGCCAAGGAGAAGATGTATGAAGCCAGATGTAAGAGTGAACCTGTGGCCTGGGCTCAGACACTTACAGTAATAAAGTGTTAGTGTGAGAATAACACACTGCTGTAGTCTGTAAGGGCTGAACGGTGTGTGTGTGTGTGTGTGTGTGTGGGGGGGTGTGTGTGTGCAGACCTCCTACATCAAGCATCACACCTCGGATGAAAACTGACTGGGTGACAACAGAATGGATGAGAGACGTCAGGAGGTGAAACAAAGGCCTGCAGGAAGCAAATTAATGACCAATTTGCTGCTCCATCCGCTGGTTTATTTGAAGCACTTTAAATCTTTGACAGAATACCAACTAAAGCCCCTAAAAACCTCCCAGTACGACTCAGCTTTGCCGACAAATCCAACATGCATCTAAATGATCTATACATCTGCTTATTGAACTTCATATTCTCCGTATTATCCTTTTTTACAGTCTTCAATTTTCTTTTTATTTTCTTTTTCTTGAGCAGTTTTCATATTGTAATATGATTAAACTCTTTTAAAAGTAAATCCTGTTACTATTTTGTAGTTTTCCGGAAACACGCTTAGAGAAAATTGTTCATATTCTAAGAGCAAATTGACATTTCATCTAAACCAACATTTTACTTTTTAATCTTTCAATTGGGAGGGAAAAACTGGTTTGTTTAGTTTATTAAAACCTGCCAAGGTGTTATAACACTGATTTCAAAGAAGTATAAAAAAAAATAAAAATAAATACCAGTTTCCTATAAAGAATGATGACATCTTATCTTTCTAGAGTGTTCTAAAAGACATGTATGATCAGCCTAATGTGGAATAGACATAATTTGGCCTTTGCCATTTATTATTAAATACATTTATCAAACTTTTTTTTATAATTGGAAATGGGTGATAGAATTAGAAGATAAAGGACATATTTTTCTTATTTTAAAACACATCGCTGCTCTGAAGGAGGTGCCATTTTCCAGACAAAGACATTCACTCACGTCAGCAGAGACGGTTAAATTAATTGTCTGGTTTGAAACAAAGAGTGACGTCTGAACAACTGGAAGCTGAAAAGAAGAGGAAAGAGGGAGGGAAGAACCAACAGTACCATAAGAGATGTAGAGGAGCTAAGGTGGAGAGTTCTGTAATGAATGTATGAATAGACAGATGAAAATAATCCAAATCCACAGAACTGAGCCTCAGTAACAGAACAAGCAAGAAGGTCTCTGTCTCCTGTGGGATTATACATTTCATTTTTTTATAACGACCCAAAGCTAAAACAGTAGCATTTTTAAAGGGTAAAATAAATGAAGAAAAGTGGGCAGAAAAAGAAATGAGTCAATGTTTCCCAAGTAGCTGTCAAGTCGTTACAACACTAATATAAAATTGAATGTAATGGCAGCGTTAAAAGGCTCACTCCTTGACATATTTAAGAAAAACGTGTCAATCCACAAAACATGAACATGGAAATATTCAATAGAGGCAAAGAAGAGCAACAGGGAGTTTTCTTTTTGGCAAAAAATCATATAATTGACACATAATTTGGGTTTCCTGACTGAAAATATGATTTTCTTAATCATTTACCAGAATGTCTTTTTAAATTCCCCCACAGTTTTGATGTCTTTGATTTGTTGAGTGAAAGCAGCAGCAGGGGTGATTCATTAAATAACTGATCATCATCAATGTGACTATTTCTATCCAAAGCAGATGTTCGGGCAGTTTGCTGCTCAGTAGTACACAGAGATGACCACCCAACGCTAAGCTGGAAGGACGTCAGCAATGACCTTAAAGATGCAGCTGCTGCGGTCCATTGATCTGGGAAGGGTTATAAGGTCGTCATTCTACAGGGAGAAGGCGTCTGCAGAGGCGGAAAACGCCTAAGATAGCTGCCAATCTTCTCAGGAGCAGACAAATCTGTAGATTCCTTTCAAGGTCCAATACGTACAGTGTTGGTAAAGGTTAAGGTTCATTTGAGGATAATCAGAAAACCTTTAACTGAAGGGAAGTGCTTTACTCTCCCAACCAGGTCCTAAAGGCATTTCTGAAAGAAGCTCTTCTGGAGCAGGTGAGACCAAATTAGCTGTGTTTGGCTGTAGTTGGTGACAAATAAGGTGGCATATAAACCTTGTACAGTATCACAATGGTAAAGGAGGGATTACGGTCCGGGCTCATTCTGAAGCAACAAGTTCTGATTATCTTACAGTCATTAATTTCTCTGAATAACATCAATGTTCCAGAGGAAAACATTAGGTTGTCTGTCCAACAGCTGAAGCGGAGATCATTAGGACAATCATCCAAAGCACAACTAATCTACAGCAGAATGGCTGAAGAAGAAAAAACAAGTGGTGCAATGTCTTAGTTTGTGTCTGCGTAAGAGCTTTGGGGCTTGTTATATTTTAGCTGAAGACTACAATAGCAGCATAGAGTGAATTAACCGAGACGTTTGCTCCTGAGAAGTTTGGCGGTAGGGCTGGAACAGTTAATCGGATTAATCGCGATTCATTTATTAATTATTGAAATAATCATCAACTAATTTACAAATGGATTAATCATTAACTAGAGACTAGAGACTCTAAAATACGCCTCTAGCTGACAGAGCAACCCACTTAGAGCAGTGAATATACCAAAATTATAAAAAAAAAAAAACATTTTGCATTAAAAATAAATTTTTCATCTTCGTGAATATGTTCTTTCCAGAAGTCTTTAAGTGGAAAAGTTTCAGTTTCACCTGGTTTAATTTCGTAACAGGAATTTGTCTTCAAGGAATATTTGGCTACCCGATTATTAATCAAGCAATCGAAAAAATATTAGACAGATTACTCGATTTGCAAAGTAATCGTTAGTCGCCCTAGTTGGCAGCTTACTGCTATGCTGTATTGAGGCTTTTGCGGAGCTGTATAGAACCAAATGACAGAAAATGTTATTAACTGAAGTAGATATGGGGAAAAAAGGGTTCTGATTAAAAATGACTGCTGAATATTTTTTTCATTGAATGGACATCCAGAAACACCGGACATGAAAATTCCAGCGTGGCTGCCTTTCTTACTAACAAGCTTCAGCTAAAAATATTCATCCCATGTAGTATTAGCTGGTGGTAGGGTACTCACACCAACACAGGTCTGACAGCATTCTTCATGTTGCCATATGCTGCCCGGCCCAGCAGCTCCCTGAAACAGTTTTCAGCCAACACCGCTGGGTTCTCCTCACCATCCTGACCTGTCCCCGATGGGGTGCTGGGATGTCCTGCCCTGTGAGAGTGAAAGCAAATATGACTTCAGTATGAGGAAAAACCCAGCAGAAAAAAAGGCAATCGAAGCAGGGAAATAGTCTTGTTAGTATAACAATTTCACTGAATAAAGTTAAAATGTCTGAGAAAGACAGAATCATGTAGCAACAACCTGCATTGGGACCAGAATCAATACTTAATAACGCAGAGAGAGAAGCTGTGAGGAGAATGAGAGACTGCAGAGAGGAGGATGAAGAAAAGGAAAACCTCCAGGATATCAAAAAGAAGGGATGGAAGAGAGGCCGCTGTTCTGTCAGATCTGTAAATAAATTAGCCTACTTGACTTTTGGTATGCTTTTCTGGTAAGTTTGTGTGTTTACCTTCAACTACAACTTTTTGGTTATCATATCACGCATAAATAAGGTAACCTAGTGGACCTCCTTCCACTTGACAGAAGAGAGAGAAGATACAAAAAGCCTGAAAAAATTCAGGGGAGCTGAAAAAAAAAGAAAATTAAATAAAGGTATTAAGCAGTCTAATAAGAAACGTGCGAGTTAATATATTAAGTAAAGGTAAAATTCAGCAAAATGGGATGTTAAAGCTAAAAAATGATGACCCAACCACCAATCGGAAACAATCTCCTTCCATGACCAAAGAACCATCTTTGTAACAGGACCAGAATGCTGTGAAGTCTGACAGAAAGGTCAAAGTTCAGCTCATTTGTAGGTGGATGTTCAAAGCTGAGGTGTTAAAATCTAAGGTGTGCGATTGCCAGAGTTCACATCACTTCTAGGATCGTCATCATTAGTGTCCTCTGGAGGAAACAGCAGCTCAAACTCAGGATGCTGCCTCTGCACAATGGCCGAGGCCACCAGGAGTCTGAACTCTCAGCACCAAACAAAACTCAAGCTCTATTTTATAAATACTTTTTCCCAGCTTTCATTTTTCAAGACCTGCTTGTGGCAGATCTAATGTTGGCAAATAAAAACATCTATTATAAAACTTTAACATGAAAACATAACATTGCTGGTGTTCTACTGACTCCAAAAACTAGGATGTGATCGGTCCCTCTGCCATCTGAAAAATCGATTTCTTAAAGAATAACGATTGTATATGGGAAAAAAAGTTGAAACGACATTATTCTGTGCTGTTTAATGGCACAGCGGTACTATTTAACACACTTGGTTTATTGCAGCAGCCTATCTGATGATGTCAGAGTTTTAATTTTATGCCAGTATTTGGGTTATCAGGGCTATGACCTAGAGCCAGATATAATATTGTGGCCCAAAATATTGTGATCAAATCTGAAGGCCATATTGCATACTCCATAAAGTGGGTCCAACTCGGTAAAATAAGCTCACCATAAGGCGCTACTGTAGTGAAAAAGGGAAACTTTTGGTAAAGATTGCATCAGATTAGCACTGAAAGTGGTTTGTAGACGCATCAAAACAGAAGCACAGCTAGACGCACTTTTATTGGGAAAGTAAAAGAAGGACAGAGGAGGAAAGACTAGTGGTTCTTGTTGGTCCTCTGTGCTAGAATGAAATGAGCCCACATTTGTTGAGCCCATTGAATGATTCCAGGTTTGGCAGCAGCCAAGCAGACAGAGGAAAACAGAACGAAAATAGGGACAAATACAAAAAAAAAAAATAATGTAATGTAGACTGACTACTTAGTGATAACTGTTTATAAACACACAGTAAAAGGCTCAGTGTTTAATACAAACTGATACGCTATAAGAAAAAACTTAGAGTCCAATAAGCTAGAAGCAAATAGTTGAAAACGTCAAACACTGCTGGTTTTTGGAAAATACATCTTTAAGATGTTATATGTGGAAAAACTCTGTATTCCGTGGGTATAAAGACACAAGAATACTTTTATGTCAAACGTTTACTCTGAATAAAGAGTCATCAGTTTCCATTTATCAGGTAAGTGGTCCAGTAGTCCTTAATGATCCTTTCTCCACATATGCTGATGATCTTCAAAGCCTCCAGTAATTTCTAGGTGTACCCTGGGTTTTCGTCCCAGTGAGACACATCTCATAGACTTCTGAAGAAAACCATCCAGATCAAGCAGCCAAACCAACATAAATCCTATAACAGTCAGCAGCCCTAATGCCAAATCAAAGACCCTCTGGTTAAATATGTCACCAGTTCCCCAAGTAGGGCTGGGTACCGAACTTCGGTACTTTTATGGTACCGACCGAAATGCTTCGGTTCTACAGAGTATCGAAACATGCCTCGTCTTTCGGTACCAAGTTTCGGTGATTGGCTGGAACACTTAAGGTGATTGCGTCATCCAGGAAAAATACACAGGTGGTCACGCCTACAGCCAGGGTTCATGTGTATCTTTTGTGAACTGGTTGCAGCGTCGCGGAACCCCTTTAAAATGCCCCCCAGGTCAAAAGTGCGGCTTCACTTTATTAAGACTGATGCTAATAGTGCACAATGCAATACATCGTGCACGGAAATAATTTAAGAGCAGAAAGTCGCTCTGTGTTTGACTGCAAGAAGAGCGGACCGCAGCCAGCGCGACCATCCTCCTCTCAGCAGCCCGTGGGCAGAGCAAAGCCAGAGCGGAGTGAATCATGCTGCTTTCAAACTGGACGCAGCAAGAGCAGCAAAATCTCGTCTGCTGCTTCATTTTTGCTGCTTGTACCAGCTTCTGACGCGCTGCTGAAGAAGCTTTGCTGCTCTGGCTGCGCGGTCGCAAAGTGGGTCAGACGCGCGTTGGGCGGAGCTACTCTATCCTTTATTTGCCTTGCAGCTATATTTGCTGTGATCAGTGGGAATAAAGTAGTTTTATTATGTTTTTAAGTGGGAAAATCCACCTGAAAACGTAATCAGTGCAGTCAGTTCATCCTGCCTTCAATATTTCTGTCGGAGCCGCTCAGACCCCCCCCATACCAGCGGTGCGCTGTCAGTAGGATCCCATTCAACGGGCTTGTTTGTCAGACATGGTAATTTTTCTAAAGGAAAACTGCTAAGTAAAAAGGTCCTCACAATGTAACAGTGAATATTAGACACTGAATTATTTATTTTTTTATGTAAGAGGAAAAATGTAAATGGAAAAACAGAGCTTAAAATAAAACTCAAGATTTGTACTTTTTTATGTTGTGTAATTTTCTTTTTTTTCGAATTGATATTATAAAACTGGTATCGAAAAAAGTATCGTTCAGGAACCGGTATCGAAGTGAAGGTATCGGTATTGGTACCGGAACCGAAATTTTTTTAACAATACCCAGCCCTATCCCCAAGGCATACCGGGCAACTGGAACGACAATGAAGGGAACCATTTTCAGTTGCTAATATCCGGGATTTTGACATCTCACAATGTCCATACCTATTTACCATAGGTATGACTTACAAATGACTACAGCTGAAGTTCTGGTTTGTCTATATTGTCTAGAATTCCCCAGTTCAATCAGAGTACTGCATAAAAACAAGAAGCACAGGCTGGGTTAGCGCCTGGACGTTTCAGTGAGGAGAAGTTCTAGGAACTCAGTGAAACAAGGTCTCAGGGAGCAGGTAATCTTTCCTATTAGGAAGGGTTTGGCAGTTAAAGTTCCCAAGGGCGGTATCCTGCAACTTTTAGATCTATCCTTGGTCCTGAAACAATTGGCAGTTACCTCCTCAGTAAAGTCCGTTCCCCCAGAGTGAGTCCTCTCAATTATCTAATTACTTGATATAGGTGTGTTGCAGCATAGGCACATCTAAAAGTTGCAGGATACCAGCCTTTAGGAACTGGAATTGGCCACCCCTGTTGTAAAGGAATAAGGGGGAATCACCTGATATTAGGCCTGAGAGGAACTCATCAGCCAAAGCCTGGTGCTCAATCCTTGGAACCTGATGCTTGACGACATTCAGCCAAAAAAACACTACAGGAGATGCTCCCTAGACCAACAGGGGTGGTGGGGGTCAGGGAGCAGAGGTCTGTACTGGGTGCCAAGTGATTGCAAAATGAACCTCAGTGTCTTGATTAGGGTAACTATAAATCAAATACTAATTAGTATAATTTCCTGCTTCTGTTTTCCAGATTGAGTCAGAATAATTGGTCAAAAGCAGTCCGAAGAATTGCATTTTTTCTGTTTTCCAAGCCTCTCGTACAGATTGTCTCAGTGAGCCGCCTTGTTGATCACTGAGCACCAAACAAAGACGACAAAGAAAATCCTGCAAGTAGTTCCAGTCTTTACGGGCCCTTATTTCCGCCTTCATCCTTACAGCAGCTGAAGGCATTTGTTACTTTGATAAAACAACGTAAAGGTAAATCACTTCCCCAGTAGAGAGCCCGGTCACATATGGACTCCAGGCAGCTGCGTCTCAAGAGGGAAACACAGCAATTACTGTCAGCCCACACAAGCAGTTCATGGGAAATTAAATGCTTATTGCTTGTTAGAAGTGTGGAAATGATAGACAAATATGAAACCCCCTGCTGTAATTGAAGGTGGATTGTCGTGGTTTAATAAAGTAGTAAAATTAAGCTTTCTTCTATGTTTTGGCTTCTGGGTAAGAAGTGTTAAAAATGGTGTAAAACAGAAAATAAATTATAGTCTGAATTTATTTATCAAATGACAGATGTGACACATGATGCAAGAAGGAAAGAAAGATCTAACAGGAAAGCTGGACTTTAACTCTTATTGCTTTTGCATCTAGAATAAATTAATCTTAACCAACTTTTTCAATTTTGAATCATCTTAAAACTAAATGGATCCAATTTATGCAATCTTTAAAGGGACGTTGTGTGACAAATTTGCCTTTTTACTTGCAAAATTGAAGAAATGCTTAAAAAAATTCACCTTTTATGGAAATCTAAAAACATCACATCAGAAACCAAACTGATCTCATAGCTTAGAACTAGTAGTTAAAAACTCATAGGGGGCAGGGCAGGCGTTGGGAGAGGCCATGTTTCCTCGCCAATTTTGATCGGAGTAGCCGAAAGGGGAAAACACTTCTCTTGCTACATATTTTACTCATATATGGAAACTTGCAGTAGCTCTGTAGCACTGTAGCTCATTCTGCCTGCCACTTTATGTTCCAGTGGAAGAACATTCATGCTATTTTTCAGAGAGGCAAGAGAAATAACCAAAAAGAGAAAAATAATAACGAGCCTAACATCAGCACAGCTTTTACAATGCAGAGACAACTTATGACAGGGCAGGGCTTCAAAATGGAAACGGGGTACCAGGCTTTAACTGGACAGGTAAATCAACTAAATAAAAACATTGGTCCATCCAAATTCTGCTTATCAGGGGCAGGGTCTTATTCGTTTGACCTTCCCAAAAGACCTCATCATGGAGGTGTCAAGGAGTAACGTTGAGAAGCAGCGGCTCTACTCAGACTCACTCGTCGACAGCTGAACTTCTCACTCTATCTCTAAGGGAAATCCCAGACACCCTGCAGAGAAAAAAAATTTTTTGGCCTCTTGTTTCCAAACTCTCAATCTTTTGGTCATGAGGCAAAGCTCATGACCGCAGATGAGGGTAAGAAGGTAGATCGACCAGTAAATCGAGATTTTAACTTATGTCTCAAGTCTCTCTTCACCATGACATATCAACATAGCATGCTTTATTGCATATGCTACACAATCTCCTGCTCTATTGTTCCCTCATTCATGAACAATCCTGAGACACCAACTCCTGCACTTGGGGTTGGACATCTTCAGCAACCTGGAGAAGGCACCCTACCCTTTTAAATCTCAAGACGATGGGTTTGGAATCACTGATCCACATCTGAGCCCCTGTATCCTAGGCTGTGAACTGCTCCAGTGAGAGCTATAGATTACATAAGATTTCCTTCTCAAGCCCATCAAGTTGACTTTTCTGATGATCCAGTCCTGGTATTTGAGCTTCCTTATTGTTAGCAGTAGTGTCCTGCATGCAAAGCCATATTTGTGCAGTGGTCTTGGCATAATTGCTATTAAGGGCTGGTTATACTCCAGGAGCAGTGTGTCACAGTCAGCTCGTCGCAGATATTTTTGATTTATGCCCAATATTGAAGCATGGTCTGCGCTATGTTATTCCACGTCACAACGAAGAGGGACTATCAAGAACTAGCTGTGGGTCTAGATACGGCCAAGGAGTAGAGGAAAAGGGGGCAAGATTGTGTGACAATGGAGGGACATGAGGGCGAAAATGAGTGGGGATCCAGGTGGGAAAAGGCTCCCAGCGTTCTCGCGCACCTCGCTCTGCTAGCTGGCCCAACTTCACGAGTCGTTTTCCACAATGGCGGTCTTAAAAACAAAACAAGCCGGTAGGGTACCAAACAGGAAATACGCATAGTGTAGAGCGGATGTAAACCAATCAGAGACCTCCTGTCTGTGGCACTTTTTGCGGTCAACTATAATTTTGGTCTGCGTAGGGGCACATTTGCATTCACTGCGACACACATGCAGAGGACCTGGTTTCTGAGTATAAAGCAGCCCTCAGAGGGAAGCTTTGTAAGGAAGCGTCTTTTACAGGAAGCGGAACCATGAAGAGATTTCAGCTGGACGGTTTCGATTAATGTTGTATGGATAAAAGAACATCAAAGATTTAACTCCAGCTCTAAATGAATACATTAAAACTACCTCCCTTCTTCATCCAGAGTCCATTTCTATTCACTGCCTGTTTGGGTTTTATCAGATATGAAGATGTTTACAGAAGCAAAGCTGAAGGGAAGGTTGTGTTGCAGCAAAGCAGATAATCAAACACACAGCAGCTGGAGTTCAAAGTCATTTTCAGGTGGACATCTTCATATCAGTCTTGGTGAGCGGACACTGGCTCTGTTTACGAGGTGGGAGACAAACACAGGCGGGGATTTAAGCGTCGAGACCAACAAAGCTTTTCCCTCGCTCCCTCTGCAGGCTGGACACGTCCACTGTCCCCAAGAAGCAATTAAGACAAATCCGACAGCCTTGACTGCTGCCGTCCATCAGACCCACGTAGGATTCAGTAGAAATCCCTCAACACTGATCCAGGGGTAAACTAACCATGGCTGCAACAGGCAACAATCTTATCCTAAAATGCTTTGTTTGTTCAGGGTGGAAATAAAACAACAGCACAGTTCTTTTCCTATCCATCCTCCACCCTCAGAGGCAGACATGTTTTATAGAGGGGTGAATGGAAAGTCTCCCGGTGGACGACTGAACCACAGAAAAATTCCTCATTAATGTACCAAACACTTTTTTTTAGGGTTTTGAGAAGATTCAGCTAATAAATCCATCAATCTGACTTCAAAGATGTAAAGTCAAACTCCACAGTTCTCCCTCCTCAGGCTCTATATTAATGCTATTAGAATCACAGCCAGTTTGTGTCAAAGCCAAGTGAGGCTCTACATATAAGAGACCAAGAAGGCCACATTAGCTCAGATCGTCATTTGAAAACAACTCCTGCTGAGTGTTTAAAACAGTAACAGCAGTATGCTGCAAAGCAATCAACACCAAGTTACCGTTGTTTTTTATTTCCCACCCTGATTCCACAAACACAGAGCTGCAGAAGCTTGCAGGTCTGTTACTGAGCAGATCCCAGAGCTGCAGCTTAATCCCATACGGCTGAGATCAGCTGGGAAACACATGAAGACCTCAGACCAGAGCAAAAAAGATTCAGTTCAAAGAAGAATTATCTGCTGACTGGAGGTGAAACCCATACATGGGTCTAAATTTCAGCAGGTGGACGCAAAGATGTTTAGCACATAACAGAGCGACGCAACAAGGCTTCCCCGACTTTGGAGCAAATTTCTCATTTCATCCTGGAAGGATGTCCTCTCTGGATGTGAAAAAAAAAAAAAAGTCAGTAGAGCAAAGAAATAAGAAAGCAGGATCCAAAAATAGATTTTAGTTCACATGGAAACCAAACGGATGAAATAAGAAGGAACGAGGGAAATGAGAGAAAGGAGGGAAACAAGGTGATCAATGATGAAGAGATGAAGATATGTAAAGAAAATGGTGAGGCCGATTACAGGTCAAAAAAGCACTGAAAGAAAAACAGAGTTTCTGTTATCAATATTTAGATCAAATAAATCTCTCTTTAGATGCACGTGTCTGTGTTTCTGTCCAGTCCTAAAAGTAAGATTACAATAAACTTGAAATTTTCGAAACTTTAAAACCTTCAATATGAGGAAATGAGGATTAATAAAAACAAATAGAAAATTAAGGAAACCTTGCCCTCAGCTTTTAATACAGAAGCTGCAAAGATATTATTGGCATATGCTTCACTTTGGCACACAATTAAAACTACAATTATTTATACCTAAGAGATTAGCTAAAAGACTTAAGTTTAAAGTCTTTTAGATTAATGAATCTGCCTGGGAATCATTAACATTCTGGATGGGGGAGAAAGCTGAAGATTAGGGTGATGCCAAGGATGCCCTAAAGTTTGCCAGCAAATAAAGTTAAAAAGAAACTAAGTTTTTTTTAAAAACAACCCCAAAAAAAACAAAAGTAAAAAAATAAATAAAGGTTTATTAATTATATGATATTTTGAAGCTGATAAATGTAAAAAGATAGGATCTTAATCATTCTGGAACATTAAAACCTATTCAAAATATTGTGCAAACAGAAAAATTTATTTTTTTGAATTAAACCTTTTTTACCATTTTTATGCTTTTAGAGATGCTTATCAAGACAAAACTTCATATGATAATTAAAACAATGTCACATCAAAATCCGTCAGGGGTATGAATCATTTTAGGCACAAGACTTACTGCAGCAGTATGACCAGAGCCCAGGCTTAAACCAGAGTATTCCTTCATCACAGACCTCCATCACAAGCTTAGATGATTCTAACTCTGGACTGTGCAGCCTCACGTTTCAAAACCTTAGAAAGTTTGTTCTCAGGATATTGTTTGCCTACTAATATTTAATGGGAGCCATAGTGTAAAGGAATCGTCTTCCGATAAGAAAACTAAATATTTATTTTTCATGCTTGAATGTGATGCAGTTTGTTGAGTTCTAGTAAATTCTCCTCTCATCCATTTGCATTTCCAAGGTCATGATTTCTGTTGTATATTTCCATAACTCACCAACTGAACCAGACTGAATGGCTGGCAAAAAAAAAAGACCAGAGATTAGCAGCATCAATCTTTCCTCCTGAATCTCAAAGTGAACTGCAGACCTCATGCAGGAACACATAGTGTCAGAGAGCTCTCAGGAACAATGCAGCTTCAGGATTTAGAAGCTTTTGTTATCTGCACAATGACCCAGATCCAGATGAAAGTTAGGAGGTCTGGGGTTTGGGCACATGATGATGGGGATTACTCCAGACGGAGGATAGGAAACTGTACCAGATACACCCAAAGAGATGTGACTGGAGCTAATGGAACATTTTATTTGGGATCCAAAGTATCCTGAAAGTTCATGGGAATTTTTAAAGCAGACCAAACGAAGACGGTGTAGACTCTGCACTGTTAGAAAACTGAAAACATCAGCAGAAACAGATGTAGGTGGGAAAAAAAAACAACCTTAGATACTTATCCATTAGTTAGAAATGTGTGTCATGTGAGGACGCCTCTGACAAACAAACAGAACCTCAGTGTGGAGTTCAGTACCTGTCCAGGTCCTCAGCGTCCTGCATGTTGAACAGCATGGAGGGAATCAGCTTTTCCATGTGCTGAGGCTCCCAGATGATGGCCTGCAGCTCATCGTTCACAGTCTTCCTCACCACACCCTGAAGACCTTTGATCCCAGCAACACGGATCCTGAGAACAGATACAGGAGATCTCAGACTGTTTGGTGAAGCATTGAAGATGAAGCATTGGAGGTTATTTCCTGTACACTGGAAGTTTGTACTTATATAAAATGGCTGATTTTTATTAAGAGAGATTTAACACGACAGAGCTAAAGAAAAGCATTTTGCTCTGAAATCTAATAGAATTTCACTACAGTTTGGTTTGAGTTGAAGTTTATTCAAATATGATTAGAAAGAATGACTAGAAAATGTATGAATTTTCTCTTGAGTAAAACACTGAAATATTTTAGGTCCTATTTTATCTTTGAAGTCTGGACCAAACTGATTAATTCAAGTCATTTTGTTTAAATTTCGCTGAAATAAATGTTTGCTAAAAAAAAAAAATCATCTGACATTCTGTCAGCATTAATATATTGAAAAAAGAAAAAGATAACTAGGCAAAAAGAAAAAGATTTTCTTCCAGCAGCAAAGCTTCACACCTTGATTCTTGTTGTGAAATGTGAAAAACGAGAATATATATTTAAATGAGACTGATCTGCTTAAACTTCATAAGTCAGGAAATGGCAATAGTCAGCTAAACCAGCTGTATCTATGGTCAGAGCCACAATAAACATCTTTTTTTTTTTTTAGAACTGGAACAGACAAGGCTGGATCACTGACACTGCAGCCCAGGGGACATCCTGGGGCCACTGAGGCTCCAAAAAGACCATCTGAAGGTCCAGAGAACCTTGCTGAAGTTCACAGAATCATCACCTCATTCACTACCAAGAACAAATAAATAAGTAATAAACATCCAGAGGTTTTTAGGAGTTGGGCTGAAGTAATTAAATGTGATTCATTATTTATTGGAATAATTTCATTATTTAAACACTCGTTAACCAAAGTGCACAGACTCTAAAAGATTTAATAACAAAACAGGAAACTCAAAGCAGTAATTAAACCAAAAAACATTAATAAAACTAGAAAAGCAATCAGAGAGCACACATCTCTGCCAAGCAGAAAATTTTGCACCATATTGTGACTAAGCTTTAGCTAATACTCACATGATTTGGATCATTACAATATTTTAATGACTTGTTCCTTGGCATGAGGTGCACCTTTGGTAAAAATTGTTCTTAAAAATCCTTTCATATGTTTCTAATTAAAGCCCAGCATGTATCTGCAGCCTCTGGTGTCTGTTCTGCGAGGCATGGCTCACCTTTCCTGTGTTTTTAACTTCAGCATAATGCTTCTAGACTTTTTGGATTTGGGTGCTGAAGCTGTCAATAAGCACTGCTGCCACCCTCTGGTTTAGGAGGGTTCTGCCGAATAATGTTAAAGAATAAAAAAAAAAAATAAATCCTGCATCCGCATCATGATTATGATGCGGATGCAGGAATTTTTTTTTTTTTTTTGTATCATCACCAAAATTGTATGAATTTTTCCTTGGACTGAGGCCAGTGGTGTCACCAGGGGGTGGCCAGGGCATTGCACAGGGTGGCCATGGCCACCCCCTGGCCCCCCCACTCCCCAGTGTAAATTGTAGAACTTTCAGTTTAGCATTTCATCCTATCATGTACAGCCAGTGCATAACATTAAATATCATACATTAAACCAAGGTATGAGTAGATTTTACCTTAGTCTTTATGATTTCTATAGGCAGGTTTACCACAATATTAGATTCAAACCCTGAAATTATGGCTTTTAGTTTCAATGTGCCACCCCAAGATTTTTAGTGGCGCCATCTGGCTCCCCTCCTATGAAACATTTGTGGATGCGCCACTGACTAAGGCTCACCTTTGATAAAATTACATTTAAATCCGTTTATTCAAGTTATCCTGTACAAAGAAAGACAGACAAACAAACTTGACTAAAAACACTGCTTGGCGGAGATAAATAGAAACTTTTGCATTAAAGATGAACCTTCTTCGTCTTTAGATGGTTTGTATCTGGTGTTGTCAGATGAGCATACCCAGTCAGACCAGCATACCCACAGTCAAAACCCGTTTATCTCTTTAGTTTTGTACGAAAAATAAACTAAACTACTTAAACAGGCGTGTATCCCTTTAGTCCTGTACAATAATACAATTAAATGTCTTACTTTATGGTGTTTTTTTTAAGCATATGGCGATCTGACCTTAAATTGTTTTTTTTTTGTACATTACTACAGGGATACACCAAGGTGAGATAGTTTAAAGTCTATTTTTTGAACAAAGCTGAAGGGATAAATGCTGGTCTGACAGGGTATGCTGATCTGACAGAACACGGGAACTCAAGCACCAAAACTCAAAGACAAAATCTCTCACCTCAATCTCGCACCTTTTTCTATCTATTCATTCTTTCCGTTATTAAAAAGTTGTCAACGGATTTATTGATTTGCAAAAGTAATTCTGCCACTTGTTAAATTTTCCATTTTGCCAAACAAGGAGATTACTTTGTTTATTCAGGCTTGTTATTTATTCAGAGCATCGCTTCTTAGATCATTTGATAAATCTATATAATTATTGATAGACTAATTAATATTTTACAAAAAAAATGATAGTTGCAACTTTAATTTATTTATTTTTTTATTTAATTAACTGTAAAACAGGCTCTCAGTTTAGAGAACAGGAAAAAAAACAAGAAAGCAATCATCTCTCCTCTCTGACCTTTATTCTGTGGAAAACTTCATGCCCTCCTCCAGGATGTGGAGGAATAGTTGATTCGGTAGAGACGGGCTTAAAAACAAAAGCTTAAACCTTTGTAAACCTAATGATTCGTGGTTAATTGTTGAAACATATTTAGAAAAACTCAGCAAAAGTCCAGCTGCTTTTGATTCAAACCTGTTCTGTTTGCTATGGCCTGGATGACACAGGCCGGATTCAGAAAGATGTCTAATGTCGGTAAAGAACACAGCTCTGCTGCACTGGAACAAACAGACGGCTCAGTTACATTGAAAGCATTGGATGGTTTTCTTTGGGCCCTTAGTTCGGTACCATCACTCTGCAGGACACAACAATCCAAGCCGCCTCTTTGATGTGTTTTCTAAAACAACTGGACCTCCTGCTGAGCCTCAGTTTGGAAAAGCTACACAGGCCGACTAGTGGGATACTACGTGCTCCGTCTCATGCTGGGGACCCGTCGGGTCAGGGGCCCTTCCTGTGCAGTCTGTCGGACCCAGAGGAGTAGACCAACCTTTGTCCCCCAGATTCATCTGAGTCAAGGGATGAGAGGATTAACTTTCTGAATCCTGCAGTAACAACAGACACCAGCTTCAGAACGTCGTCTAATCTGCAGCTTTTCTTTTATGATGGTGACAAGACTTCTTGGCATGATGTAAAAGTTTGTTAAACTGAATTAAACAGAACTTTCCTTACTGTGAATTAATTAAAATTTTATTTAACTAATAAATAACTAGAGAGGAAAACTGATTTCATTAGTCTTGAAATGACTGTCAGTGTTGATTGAACTGGGATATTTTAATTGAATTTTTAATTGCATTTAATTAAACTAATCTCATTTAACTGGAATAGTCGAAAGGTTTTAGGTGTGTAACTCGTAGTAGACAAATAAAAGTTAATTATAACTAAAGTTAGCTTAAAAACTTTCATGTTTTTTTTGTTGGTATAAAAGTTTGGGTCTGACACAAAGTGGGTTTTAACCAGCAACTTATTCCCCCATCATTGCACCATACTGGGTCTGCAGAACCGGGATGGTCCCAGATGTTTGGACCAGTCAAAAGGTACAATGCTTTTTACCCTTCAGCTTTGGACATAAAAACTCTAAGAACAATTATACAAAAAAGAAGGGCAGGCGATCCCTCCTCAGGCATGATCCAGCTGCTTCCTGCTAAATCCTATTTGGGAATTCATCTCTACCACCTGAGACGTCACAAAAAAGAATAATGAAATACAGAAGAGCGCCTACTATACTGCGAGGTATGAAATCGTATCTCAAAAATACCCCCAAACAGCATCCCAACCCCCCCATCATACATACAAATAGAAATGAAAGTCCCATTTTCTGCCCAAATATCTCCACCACTCAGAGGTCTCAGCTGCCGTTTCAAAGGTTTACCAAACAATGTTAGCAGCTCTGAAGGTAGCTGGCTATTTTCCCAGTAAATGAGACAGGAGAGACTTCGGATATTGTTTCCATCCTCTGCTCATCTTTATTAGAGTCAAAAGCCGACCCTGTCAGAAGGAGACAACCCACCGTGACCCACAATGCATCCATTCAAAAGCTATTTTTATTCTCCTCATAATAATAGGACTGGCAGTGTTGAGGAGCTTCATCTTCAAAACAATAAAAGCTATATTTAATTTATGTGCTAAATCAGTCTTATTGAATAAAATAAAAGCAGCTTGTGTTTTATTTATTTCAATATAAACATATGAGAATAAAAAGATTATTACTTTGAACATAATATTTACTTTCACTGCCATGGTCGGCTTCAGAGTCACGCTCCTAGAAAATAAAAGCAACAGGGAAAAATCAAAATTTTCTTCTAAACTTTAAATCTGGAAACAACAGAACTGTGGTGAGCAGGGAGTTTTACTCTGTTCACCAAAGTTCTGCCAACAAATAACATTCCTAAACCAACACCCACACACAGTTATTCAACTTGGACAGGAAAATAAACTATAGAAACACAACACAAAATCAGGTAATTATGTTAAATAACATCTCATGAAGGAATTCAGAGGAGGGAAAATGTGGGGACCCAAGTAACCAACCCTGCAGAATTCCGGACATAATATATGCCTTGGATAAAATCAAACATCAGTCAACTTTTTTATTGCAGCATTTAAGTTTGAATATTATCTCTCTAATAATTTGAATAAATATTTACCAGATTTTACTGTAAAATGAAAAACATTCAACAGAAATTTTTATCCAGCACTTTCTTCAAAAATATTTGCAATATGTAATAGATAAAAGTAAAATGATCTGATTATCTTTAAAAGATCTGTCAATAGTTTTGATTTAAATGCTATTAAACTTAAATGTTACATCAAAATCATTTTGTTTTTAAACCAATAATGAGTAACTGTTCAAACTTTTGTGATTAGAGGTTGACTTACAATTGAAGGACACCTCTCTTATTCAATCTCTGTCATGGCCCACTTTTTCCGACACTAAGCAGAGTGAAGAGGGTGGCAGTAACCCTGCCACATAAAACTATAAATGCGCAGACTGCTTTACGGAATACGTCACTTCCACATCGGGAACAACGATAGAAGTTGATGCGTACAAGTTTCCCTGAGAGACTGTATTTGCATTAATATAGTACAAAAAAAGATAAATGTTTCTTATTTTCAGCGTCGTCATATAAAATTTTTTCCACCAGTTAGATTAATTACCTCATTGCTGTACATTTTTTACACAGCCACTGAAAACAGAAATGTAGTTCCACGTAGGCAAAAAAAAAATTAAAATAAATACAGCTTTTCTGCACTGAGGGAGCCAAAATTGACCAAAACTGAAAGTCCTTTAGAACAGCTTTAATGTCACTAATCGATAACCTATTTATATGAAACTATTCTAAAATCGTCACTATTTTTTTTTTTACAAATTATTTAAATCTAACCATAAGCAATTAATGTTATCCTATGCTTTAAAACTTTAGTTTACAGCACAAACAGCACAACATAAAATAACTCGGTTCCAAATAGCAAACCATGTGGAACACCAGAAGTTATTTCCAAAACATGGAATTCAGAATTATTTATCCTTTTACACAAACCTCTACTTTTCTGTTTTGTTTTTCTTGAAATAAAGTTTGGGTCAAATATATGCAACAGCCCCTAGTCCATGTTGTCAACATTTTTAAAAAGCAGCAAATCAAATATCAAAAAGTCATAAAAAAAAAGTTTTTAAAGTTTGTTAAGTTTTCTGACCTTTAATGAGTCTTACTACCTAAATTATGTTACTCAAATTGAAAATTCATTATGTTTTAATTAATGCCTCAGTATTTAAAGTATTTCTAAGATTTGTGTTTGGGCTCAACGATAAGAATTTAGTATTTAGCTCCCAAAGTTCATCAGGCTCTCAACGCTGCAACAGTCATTACAGAACTATGAGCTTGCCTGCATACGTTTAGAATGTGTATAAATAAAGGCTTTGTTTATATCCCTACATGCAGACTGTGCTTGCTTCTTTTATTTAAGGATTAACGTTTCTCTAAAAAGCTTGTTTGGTTTCTTTGAATGTTTTTCCACCTACCAACAGGCTTGTAAGGTTCCTCCGGCTCTAATCCTGTGGGCTCGCTTCTCTAAATAACCCTCCCTTGCCTCTGAAGATTGCTGCGTATGACTAATTATTCCAGAGTGCTGGATTCAGATTAGGACCCAGTCTATTTGGAAACCGTTTAGTAATCAGTCTATATGCAGAAGTAAATAGAGTTCAGATGAACTTGCACAAACAGACACTGGTGTTAAGTTATAACTTGTCAAGTTAAGCCTTTTTGGTGCAGCTTTGCCACAAGACACTGTTGATTATCCAGATATAAGGAATGAAGCCCCCCCCCCCCAAAAAAAAAGCAGCAATTTTTTGAAACAGACTTTATTTTGAAACACAAAATGATCAAAGGAAGAGAAGGTCTGCATGTTTTTTTTTTTTTTTGGTTTTCATTGCCACACTGGAGATGATGGAGAGCCATGTGACAGAAGGATTTGTCTTGGGTGAGCCAGTTATTCTCACTCCCTTCATCAACACTATGCTCTTATTTCTCTGTTAGAAAGTGAAGCGAAGCACTCGTGAGGAGGTGTTACACAGCCATGTGGTCTCAGTGGAATGGAGAGGTTATGAAATATGGATCAGCAGGAGATATATTTATATCTGCTTTATAATGGATATGTGTGGGATGCGGGGTTTGTTACTCGGTCTCTCTGGACATGGATGTTGATGTGACAAAACATGGAGGGTTAGGTTGTAACCAGAGGAAGACCTTTTCAACCGAGCAGCAGGTTTTCTTTGAAGAAGGATCTGAATCCTGACGGAAGATTTTAAAGCTATTCCATATAGCCTAACTGTGAAATTCAACAACAATTTGGCTTAATGAACCCCAACCTGCTCTATTCTTCAAATTTGGGAAAATTGAGTAGATAGAGCAATTCCTCCCACAGCAATTTTTGACTCAGACAAATAAATGAGTCTTTTTTGAACTCTTACACTATCTTGAGCTAGAAGTGATGAATTCAGCTTCATAATGCCAAAGGGTCTCCCTCTGTGTACCTGTGGATCTCTGAGTCATGGCTGTTTTGATGCTATAAGCAGCGCTGCATCTCACTGTGAATCCAATAAATGACCACAGATATGTGCGCTGCATTGTGATGCCCTGAAGCAGGTGACAGATGCAGGTCTCACACAGACTGTCTGCTGCAGCCCCAGTCATAATTTTTCCCTCAGTTACCCATCATCCTAATGTTTTAACTGAACCTGGATCCAGTACATCAAAAGCTTAGCCTTGGTTAGTCCTGTTATTGGATGGTTTGGTTTTCTTTGTATTTAACTAGTCAAAAGTTAACATAGTGTAAACATTAAAAAATTCTGTTTGATCGAAGCAGACTAGCCAACTAGATGTGCCATCCTCTGACCTTCTGGTTAAACCTTTTCAAAGGATGCAGGAAACATTTATGGTTTTAGATGAGCTTCATCAGGACCAAACCCTGAAATATATTCACTACAGATGATCTACGGAGAGTTAAGGCACTAGAATTCAAAACAAAAGCACACATGGATGGTTGAAAGATAAATATACAGATGGTGAATATACTATAATAAGGTTACGTATTTTTTTTACTACTGTCTGAGCAAACAGTGAGCAGCTTTTAAACTCTCCCTAGCTCAAAACGTATCTGGAGCGACTCTGACAATCTCCATTGTTTTTCTGCTCCATCTCTAAGCTCACGACTTGTTTAACTATATTTAAATAAATCACCCCGACCGGTCAATCAAAGACAGGCCTTTTTTTAAAATCCAATTAAAGTAATCTCTATAATACACAAAAATAAAATAAAACAACAGACTGTGCTCCCACTACTTTTTTACCTACAGCATTTACGGCCATTAAATTAGTGTACAGCGTGAGCATCTGATACCATCAGACCACATTCAGCTGACTGAATATTACATTTGAAAAACAACATTTCACATCACTTGGAATATTATCGCAATAATTAATGGACACAGTGATGTTGTGATATAATTTTATGAAGCTTCAGAAATAATATATTTAACACAGATTTTCCTGCAACAATCCAACCATAGACAATAGTTCTAAAATCTGTCATTCTTATCATCCAGTCCATGTAAACTTGACCATGAGAGTGCAGCAGAATACGGTACAATAACTACAGTTGAGTAGATGCTGTAAGAAGACATACCTGGTTCTGGTCTCTGGGTCTTCATGAGTGGAGTGGCACATGGCGCTGAACTGAGAGACGAAGAAGTCATAGCGACGATGGTAGGAAGGGGTGTCCTCCTCGATGTTAGCAAACTTCACAAACTACAACAAAGAGACAAGAAGAAGGAAGTTTTAGAAAAAGGATAAATCCAAAAAGTGGAGGTGAAAACACAACAACATCTTATTGATTTCCCAGCAGATGATCTGCCTACAGAGTATTTCTAGTGATCAGCTTGAATTTCTATAAAGCAAGTGTAAACATAGTAGTAAACATAGATATATATGAAGGTCTCTGAAGTTTGTTTTGGTATAAATCTGGCCTCGCTACCTTCGTTGAGTCTTAATTCCGGCTGTAAGGCGTGGAGGTGGGCGCACCATGAAATGGAACATGAGGGAGGATGATTTTGGAACAAGATGTGTCAAATGTGACTTTAGTTTTCCATTTGGAACAAACTTGCAAGAATCTCGAAAATGATTGTAACGAGTAGTTTGGGTGTAAAAAGAGATCAAGGTTAATACTATCTGGAATCGACCCAATGGCAACTGCCAGATTGTTCTGCCTATGAAGGAATGCAAGCTTGTGACAATAAATCTCAGCAAACTAAGTAATGTTTTAACTGGTAAATGTGAGACATAAATTAGGAATTTAGCCTAAAAAGCAAACATTAAGGACTGATAATGGACACAGTAATGTTGACCGTGAATAAAATGGCGTCTGATGACTTTTACAGTTTCAAACGTATACAATCAGCCTGTGTATCAATATTAAAAGCCCATGCCAGAACGTAGCCTTGGACATTGTTTATCCCTACACAAATTCATAATTAAGCAGTCCAAGCATTTCTAAGTTAAACATAAGCAAGAAAGCTGCTTTATTGAGCTGCTTATACCACTCAGCTGAAGGCCTTTGTTTATCTTTTATATTTCCCAAGACTCCTTTTTAGTTTTGGAAATAGAATAACTTTGTTCCATTCTATAAGTACTTTAGATATTGTTTTTCTCTTATCTGGTCCACTATGCCTTCCATGCCAGTTTTGTTGGAGGGATTTACAGGTGGCGCCACATCAAATACGTTGTAACAGCGCTGTGAGTACTTTCTGGTTTTTGTAAAAGGGACAGAAAATCCAGACATCTAGGATTCAAATGAATAGGAATAAAACTCTGATAAATCCTTATAGCTTTGAAATATATATAATAAAAAAAAAAAAAAAAAAAAAAAAAAAAAACTTTTTTATAAATAAGATATTTGGACGGCGAATTGCTGCAGTCGATGTTCCTTCCCGATAAGGTCAATGTAGCTTAAGGTAATGGGTCTTAAATTATGGTTAACAGTGTCTTTGGAGAGCACAATGCTTGAATCATTACAAAGAAAATTCTTCAGAGGAAAAAGCAGCTTGCAAGTTTTCCATTTCACTGGCTGTGTTCCCAGGGCATCGTTCTGCCTCCATTCCTCTTCACCCTTTACACCTTGGACTAGAACACGGATAGCTGCCATTCTAGGCTGTCTTTCTGAGGGGAATGAGCTGGAGGTCATCATGGACTTTGGAGACTGGTGTGAGAAAAGCCACCTGTGTCTTAACTCCAGTAAGACCAAAGAGATGGTGATCGACTTCAGGAGAAGACCCCCACCTCAACCCCACCGTGAACATCCAGGGACAGGACATAGAAACTGTGGAGAGTGTCAAATACCTGGGTGTTCATGTCAATAACAAACTAGACTGGACTCATACCACCGACGCCCTGTATAAGAAGGGCCAGAGCCGCTTCCACCTCCTGAGGAGGCTGAGGTCCTTTGGAGTGAGCGGGCCCTTGCTTAAAACCTTCTATGACTCTGTGGTGGCACCAGCCCTCCTCTAAGCTGTTGTCTGCTGGGTTCCTAGCAGCACAGAGCGGGAGCAAATGAGACTGAACAAACTGGTAAGAAAGGCCTGTTCTGTTCTAGTCTGCATTCTGGACTTAGTGGAGGAAGTGGCTGAGAGGAAGGTGCTGTCCAAGCTTACATCCATCATGGACAAGACCGTCCACCCTCTGCACCAGACTGTGGAGAAGCTGAGCAGCACCTTTAGAAAAAGACTTTTACACCCCGTTTGTAAAAAGGAGCGGTACAATGCTGATTCAACAAGTAGACTTCTCCACTGTGAGATGAATATAGTCAATGAATCAATCACAAAAATATTTGTTTACCTTTATGTTTTTAGCTGTAATCATTTGCTACTGCTTTTTATTGTTAACTGATCTGTTAACCAGAGGCCTTTTTTTAAATCCACCAAAAATGATTCTTTCCTTTCCAGAAGCCACCCCTTTCTCTCACCCTTTTAATGATGATCACCAGCGACTCTTGTAGCCTGAAGGTCTGTCAAAGTTGGCCTTCAGCTCCTCTTACACTAATCTTCGGACTATTCCTTGGAGTAAACAATGATTCTTCGGGTCTCCACATATCATCAGAGTTTCAAATTGTTATGATCCTTATTTAAACTGAAGAGAAAATGATGAGCTCTTTTGGTTGTAGAGGCTAAATGCTTATTATTATTGTAATAAAGGAGGGTGCAGAATGCAAATAACAACAAAAAAATGTCAGACTTGGTACTTCACAGATGCCTCATGGCAGAGCAATGAAGCAATGCGAGAGTGGCTAGAACAAACGGCTCTATTTGTTTTACTTCCCTTGGGTGAAGCTGAAAAAGCTCGCTCTGAAATGAGGATCCATTAACCCATCGAGTGAAATGGGACGTTTTTAACTTTATTATGCTCACTAATTGTTAAAGCATTAAATTGTTAAAGTCAAAGGCAGAAAGGCCGAGTGCTATCAGCCTATGATATTCCTACTAACAGCTTTATTCTATGTTCAGGTTCGGCTGCCTACAACAGAAAGTAGGAGATTCTGAGTTTTAGTCCTGGGATTGGAGCAAAAAAATATATATAAATCAAAATGATGATAATTGAAAGAAACAATGAACAGATGAGATGCAGAAAACTGGAAGTAATTATCTGAGGCTTCTAGTATCCAGCTGGGGTATTCAGGTTGCTCTCTGAGATTAATGAAGATTCTATTTGTGATAAACATGGAAATATTTGAGGAAAGGCTTAATTGCCAATTATGATGGATTTTAAAATTGAGTCTCTTGACATTTTCAATCAAATTAAAAATTATCTCTGCAGTAAATCTGTTTTTTAAATCCATGACACCCACCATCAAAGCCGCTACTCCCTACTTGAACATTTTGAATTTGTTATAATAAGGCTTTTTCAAAATAATAAAAAAATGTTTTATGCTTTTTCCTCCCATCAGGACTTAAAACACCCTGCTGAAAAATGTATCTGCTGTGTGGCTGACAATAAAAACCTGGATTCAAAAACCTGTTGGCTTTAACTTAGGCCTGCAGGGTGCCTGGTTATTGGGTGAGGGGAGGGGGACATGAGACAGGTCACTTGTCCATCACATAGGACAAGCAATCTTCAACTCCAGTCCTTGAATATCAGGGTCTTGCATCTCTGCTTCAACACACCCAAGTCAAATAATAAGGTCATTAGGAGGATTCTAGATCCTGAGGACATAATTCCATCATTTGATTCAGGCCTGTTGGCCAATTCTATAAGTTCCAGGAGACCTGAATTATCAGTCATGTTTGGACTGTAGTAGAAAGCCGTAATGTTTTGGGAAAATCTAAGCATACAATAATAGAAGCTGCAAATACCATGCAGAAAGACCCGGGCCAGGATTTAAATAAAATACCTTGTTTCTGCAAAGTAACCAGACTCTGAGCTACTGACACCCATTGATGGACTTTTTGGCAAACCTGTGAAGAAACTGTTGCAGTGATAGATTCTACTAAAGATAAATGCACAAATTACTTTTTCTAGATCCTGATTGGACATTAGTCCTTGAATCCTGGGGGTGTTCTTGATGTGATAAAAGGCTGACTTAGTAACTGCCTTTATGTGCCTCTGAAGGTTCAGGTCTGAATCCATCATGAAACCAAGATTTCAGTCATAATCAGTGTTTTCTAGCTGTAGTAGCTAAGGCTGTCAGACAACTCTGGATCTATCCTCATTTGGTCCGAAGGTTATTACCTCAGTTTGATTTTTATTGATTTCGAAGAAAATTATGACGCACCCACATATTGATCGGTTCAGTCACCTGTGTGTTGTCTGCATAGTTACGATAACTTTTCTTGTAGTCTTCTATAATTGAAGCTAATTGGAGCATGCAGATGTTGAATAAGAGGGGCCCCAGAATGGAGCCTTGAGGAATCCCGCATGTGATTATTCTGGTCTCTGATTTAAAGTTGCCTCCTGACACAAAGAAATCCCTGTCCTTCAGGTAGGATTTAAACAACCCCTCCTCCCCTTCACATCCACATGCCTGTGTGAATGTGGTGTTTCTGCATAAAAAATGATCAGAGCACTAAAGGGAGACATGGACAACTAGCTTAAGGGCATATCAGCAGATATGTGAATATCCTGTTGCAGGACCATTCATTTTTATAACTTCATATCTATAAAGAAAACAGGTTAAAATATGACAGAGATGATAGTAGTAATAACATGCTACTAATCCGTATATGCTATTAAAAGGCGCTGTTATCTGGCAGATAAATTAAATACTGAGCCAAAGTTTTAAAAATAATGTTTCCAGCTCCTCAGATTGCAATTATAGCTTATATTCCTCACATTTGTACAAACAGAAAAATAGCAAAAGCTCAGTGTCGCATCCACACCTTTTAATTATTGATAACACGTCTCTACTGCTGCATGTAGGACATGAATGAAAGTGAGAGCACAGTTATATCTGATAATGATGCAGGACAGGATCGGGTTTTCTACACAAGTGCTGCTGGGTCATGAGAACAGCAGCTATACTGACGGAAGGAGAGGGCTGTTATCTCTCATTATACTGGTTCAAGTTGGAATTTAAAAAAAAACTCATTAAAAATTAACTGTAGAAAAAAAATACATAGAATCTGTGGAATGCATTGAATCTTCTATTAAGTAAAGAAATGTACTTTCATGCAGTTATTACTGCATGACTAAAGTAGTTATATTTACTTGTAAAGGGTGGGGAGGGGAAGATCATTGTTCTGCAAAGCAATTACATCAGTCGCTCTGAGTTAATCTGTGATTATGTAGAAAGTGTGATATCATGTAGAGGAGAGTATTGCTAGAAGATTGTAGGGAGTTGAAATGAGAGTTTAAACCCAGTAAAGGTATTTTACTAAAGTAGAAATGTTCAAAATGCATAAAAGAAAATGTTTTAAGATTAAATAAGATGACTACATTTATTTAGAAAACGATGGCAATAATATTAATAATGTTGGGGACATTTTTTTGTTTTTCTATTAGTTCTTTGAAGTGTGCTTATTCCTCTGGATTTTGGGACTAACCTGCTGGGTCTACATGAGTAAACTGATCATTCTAGGAAAGTTACCTGCAATAAGTAACTTGCAGGTTCTGTGAAGGCAACCAAAACATTTCTAAGTTTCAGGAAATAAAGTTTTCAACAAATACATGGCAAAATCTGAGAAAGTTTGAACAAAAATTGACACAAACTGCTTTTAATTTCTTAATTCAAGTAGCAGTCACTGATCTACACCAAGTATCCAAATAAAAACCCTACACTTTTTAGGACTTTGTTACGTTTAAGCAGTTATTCTCACCTGGTTTGAATGGGTAATAGGCTATTTCTGTTTAAATTATTATTTTTGACAACATTAATGTTACAGTTTCTGAATTGGTGTAGAAGAAAGCTGAAACATCAGGAAGAAACAAAGATCTGTTCTAGCAGAGGCTGACCCTTCTCTGGCCATCTGTGAACCCAGTGTTTATGAGGGAAATCCCTATAGGAGGAGGAAACAAATGGAATTAAATAAAGAGGAAACTGCAAAAACTCAGTTTTTGTATCAAACCAGAAGTTTATTCTCCATTAACTGAATGTGTAGCACGCCTGGATGGTCCAGCCCATAAAAACCCTACATTTGAGCCTCACTGGAATAACGAATCATTGCCTTTGAAGGGGGATGCAGTAATGTCAGCAACAATACAATTTAAACCTAAGTGAAAAGACTGGACGTAAGCTGGTAGGAGTAAAGCAAAGATAGATGAACATGATGGTTCTGCTGCCTGTGTAGTTCACCACCTCCTCCCACTACGGCTGTCTCTCTCCTCTCCAAGGTTACCTTCTTAACTTGATGCTTAAACACCAAACAGATTTGGTACGCAGCTTTAGGGCTGGGCGATAATTCAATAACGATATATATCGATCGATAGACGTGTGGCGCAATAGAAAAAAAGAGGGTCGATAAAAGTTCGATAAAAAAGAGACGCAGTTTTCCTTCATTCTCATTGTAGCCTAGCATGTAGGTTTATGCTAGTCACTGCTTCCTCCCAACCAATCACAATCGCGGACCCAGGCACGTCGTCACAAAGCGCCGCCCTCTCAAACCACAACACAGAGCACATGAAGATGTCGCGGCAAGGAGAGGCGGAGGAAATTGTTCCAAAGAAGGGTTTTTGTAGTTCGGCAGTCTGGCAGTATTTCATGGCAAGTCAGACCAAAAACAACCAACTTTCTTTTTTTTTTTTATCATCTCAGCCGCTCACAGCCGGAGGAGTACGAGCTGTGTAGGCCCCGACGCGGCTCTCCTCCGAGGAATCTTCGGAAAATATATATATATATTTTCAGTTCTGGGCAGTTTCCCACGTAGTTCTAACAATTGAGATAAAAATGCTGAAGGGCCAGAAACTTCAAAGTAATGACTCAGGTTAAAGCAGGAAACGGGGGCATTTATTTACTTGTTATATTTATTTTGGTCACTTTTCTGGTCACTTTAGTTTATTCTTTGTCAGTATTTAATAACATAACTCAGGTCTCTTAAGTTATTTTTCTTTAAAACAATTCTGTTATGGTTAAAAAAGTTGGTTAAATAAAGATTTAATTCGAAGCCTGTGTTTGTGTTTTTTATTAAAATTAAATCATTTAGCAATATTATAAAAAGTCCAGGCAGAGCTGCACATAAAATATGGTTTCAAATCTTTTCAATAATTATCGATATCGATCAATATGCATTTTTTTTAATCGATATGCTTTTTTTCTATATCGCCCAGCCCTACGCAGCTTGAAACATAAGAGTATTTCTACTAAACTATGGAAACATTCCCTTCACTGAAACAGAAAAAACAAAGGCATCATATCAGAAATGGAGTCAAGCTAAATGCTGAGCTCAATAAAAAAAATTGCAGACATCTTCTTTTATGATAATGTAGGAAAGTGAGCAAAAGGATACTTCAGCTAAAACTAAAACAAGACAGTTTTATAAAAATGACAGAAACTTCTAGGTGAAAGTAGACAGAAACAATTGTGTGAGATCTGTAGCATCATCTGGCTCCACAGGTCTTCTTTTTATAACTTTCAGCTTGCAGAATGAGTGGCATTCCTTATTAAAGGAAGGTGCGTTTTTCTGGTATGGTCAATTTTAGAGCCCTTCTCTGTTTTTTCCTCCATTGTTTTGCTATGGTGCTTTGTGACCTTCCACTGTATTTGGTCGCTGTAAGCAGACGCTGTAGAAACTATTAGGCAGATGTTGTTCTGAAGAATCTTTAACTGATTAAACGAATGATGATCCAGCAGAAGAAACAGCAGTTCTTTGCTTTACCCAGGGAAACCTACAACGAACAGATCTACTATAAAGGATGATTTACCCGACATGGTTTTATGTCCCCCCCATCTGTTCTCCTCTGTCAGAGTCCAAATACCACACATAAATAATGCAAAGGCATCTGAACCCGCAGCTCAGATGCAGCGCTAACAATAGCAAGGATACAGGCTCGGACAGGAGGAAGAACAGACAGAAATGCTTTTATTTCCCCTTCAGCAGACTTGGGAGGAGAGCAATCGGTGCTAGGATCTGGTGGGAGCTTTAAGAAGCTGATCATGTTATTACTGGTTACTGAGTATGTGTTACAGGCCATTTTCAGTGCCAGAGTGAGAGCCATATTAGATGTTTAACCTCCACTAGCAGCCTCAGGGCTAATGCTAACTGACATATTGAGCCTATTTGGTAAAAATAAGGTAATAAGTGCTAAATTAAGGGTTAACTTAATGGGCTCATATTTTCTGGGTTTTACTCCAGAGCCAATAACTGCAGCGACAACAGCCAGTTTCTCACCAACACAAGAAGGGAAAGGGCCTTAAACATTCAGGAGATTTTATTAGCTGCTTAAAAACATTCAGTTAGATATGAAAGTAGAAGCCCTCAGGAAAGAGGGGTGAAAGTTGTTCATTATAAAGACTGCATCAACATCTTTAGCAGAGCGAGGGTTGTTCTAAAACGGGAGGGGGGGTTCAGTCTAGTCCTAGAGAGCTAATATCCTACTTACATAATTTCTCCAAAACACTCAAATCAGCTCTGAGAACTGGACTGTCCCAAGAATAAAACAAAATCCTTTAGATCTGCTTCATCAAAGTTTAGGAGAACGGTTCTTAAACTCCGTCCTCAGGGTCCACAGTCCAGCACACCTGATTCAAATGATTATATTACCCCTTAGACTGATACCCTGCATAGCAGAAACCTGTTTTTATTCACTGGATTGCTGAAGGAACAAAAAAACATTCTGAATATCTGACTGCATGATTATTACTCTCTAACACATGATATATAGACTTCACATACTTCATATTGACTATACAATTTGATGTGCATATTTATTTACCATAAATTAAAGTAATCTACAGATGCTATGAAACAGCAAGTGTGTGTCAAAGTGGTGCATTTATCTTTATTCAAAAAGCTTTAAGCCCCTCCTGAAAATGACAAAATCATCAATGTAGCGCGCATATTTTCTACATTCCAATGGATCTAACTAGGGAGTACCATTGTGTTGCCTGGTGACTTTACGCCACCCTGTACTACCGACGGCCTATCAGGAATCCAGTGAATGAACAGAGATCAGTGGTTTATTTCCCATTGGTTTAGATCAGATGTGTGACAGCAGAGAAACACTAAACACATGGAGGATATCTGGTCCCTAAGGAGCAAGGCTGTAAAAAACTGCTCCGGAGCCAACAGTTGTGTAAATCTATGACAAGATGGAAACACATCAGCAATGAGCTCAGACAATCAGCTGTTGCTGCCCTTCAAACCTTGTTGACTCAGAAGGACATTTCCAAACTACCTAAATTCCTTTCAGAAAGTACACAGGAAAACATTCAGTGAAGCTGCCAAAGAATCTCAGCTTTAAGCTCTTCCAGACTCAAGCTTTACTGTCTCCCTGACAGATTTTATGACATCAGGAAACATTCCTCCCAAGTTTGTTTTATCAGCCAAGCCAAAATTTTAAATTCATCTGGACGGAATTAAATGAGTTAGAGAAATCTGAACCCAATCATTTCTAATAAAGCAAACAATTTAAAACAGGTTGCAGAAAACAGCAGAATGAGAGGTTGGTGTTTTATGCAAGCCACACGGTTCAAGATCCTTCACTGAGTTTCAATCAGAGAGTACAAATAGTAAAAAAGGTAAATGATAAAACATTAGCTTGGAATTAAAAATTTTAGATTAGTTTGTTTATCAGCTCAGAACACAAAACCCTAAAAGGTTAAAACAATAAAGTGAGGTATGTGAAGGAAAATTAAGGATACATCAATGTTAAAACCACTTTAGTTGATAGAAAATAAATGGCCTTAATCTTTTAAACTTTAAAACAATAATGTAAGACGGAAAAAATGCTTTTTTCCACCATGCTGAATATTGGTCCATTCTTTTCCAAGCTTGTAAAATAATAAAATTCATCTCTATAATTTACCAAAGCTCCATCCAGTATCTCAGTTTTGTTTTTATGTTTGGAAAGTTTTCCTGGACAAAACTGTAGCAGGTTACTGCAGGCCAAGCAGAATAAGAAAACATTGAAAGCTGTTTGATATAGCCCTGAACTGAGCTTTGTTCTTTTATAGATCATCTTAATTTGTTAAAAAAGGATGTGGATCTTACAGAGTTTGTTCCCAGAACCTGCAGGTCCGGCTCTCTGGACTCCAGCAGTTTGGCCACCATGTGTAGGAAACTCTCCACGAAGGGTTTGATGCTCTGAGAGTGACAAGCCATCAGCAGCTGGTCCAGAGCCTCCATGGCGATCACAACATTCCTGCACACAGGTCAAGGTTATAGCTCATTTTATGTCATTGCATAATTAGTTGGAAGCATTGAGAATGCATAAAACTAGGCTGTGATTCTAACGGACCGTAGGGCGCTGAGGTAACTGCCTAACACCTCTATGAAGGCCCAAAAGGTGTGGACCAAACTGGCCTTTCTGTTAATTTCCTTTTTATCTCTCAGCGTAAATCAGTTCCTCACCCGTAGCGATGTCGCACCACATCTCTGCTCAGCCTCTCAGCCAGGTACGCTCCGATTCTGTCCAGCTTCTCCGGTGCCGAGACAGCATAGAAGGTGAGCTTCTCCATGTCGGACTTACTGAGGCCATCCTGATCGGAAGCAGAGAGCAGAGTTACACCTTTCTAAAGAAGACTGGATTGCTTTGGCAAAATGAGTAAACAACTAAAATATTTCATGCTTTTAAACACTAACTAAAAAAAGTGATTCTAAAACTTCTTCATTTGATGTAAATCATGTTTTTCAGGTCAGGTTATTGATGGGACAGATTTAGAGTGAAAATACAAACCCTCCCAGCAAACAGTCCCCCTTCAGCAGCAGTGACTTGATTGAACGCTGCATTAAAATATTAACATTAACTCTAATGGTGATTTTCAAAACCTGGCCGATTGTTGGCCAGTCCAGCTATTTTATTGACCCACTGGCATTAGAACAGGAAGGGACAGGAGCTACTTTGAGCTGAATAGGGCTGATTCATCAGCACAATAGATTTGTATAGTTATTATTTTTTTATACATTGCACGTTTGAACTTACTTTGGGATCCTCTGGGAAGATGTTGTCCACCAGTCGCTTATACCTCGGCCTCAGCGGCCCACAGCAGCCACAGACCCCTGCAAACGCAACACAAAAACATAAATCTGAGCTCAGAAGACCCTAAACTTCTGTTCACCCCCCAATATTCTTCATTTGCAACAGCTGCTGCAGATTGAGGAACTTCATATCAGCGGAGGCTTCAAACCCTGCAGCCAAACTTGCAGAAACTCAACCGGTTTCATGACTCATGCGAACACAATAACAATCCCGACTTCCTCTGCATTCAGCAGCCGAGTGACAGGGCACCGCCGAGTGACTAACATGAATCAGTATTATGGGGTGCAGTCACTGAGACAATACGCAGGGATGAGTCAGAGTCACGGCTCAGAGGCGAGAGGTGAGAAACCAAAGTCACAGAAGAGACCAGAGTTTGCCTGGAGACCAGAAAGACAATGCAGAACCCAATTAGAACCCTCCACTCTAGATCCATCTATGTTTACAGACCATTTGATCCATTTCTAATCACGTTTAAGTCTATAGATAAAAATATGGTGGATAGATTAAAAACAATGCAATCAATTAATTAGAAAAAAGGATTAAATGGCTAAAGATAACTAAAGAGAAAAAAAAGAGATCTTATTGTAAATAAATTCTTTAAAACTTCTTTATTTTCATCTGAAAAGACAAAAAAAAAACTATGTTCAGTCATTAGGAGAATGTTATCATTTTCTTTTAAGTCTCTAAAGGATCTTAGGCTGGAGGATCATTTCTCAAACGTTCAGCGGCCCAAAATCCTTTTAATGGAAATCAAAGATCCAAACACTTTAAAACCCCCTTGTTACAGAAATAAATCCGCTTTGCGTAAAGATCCCTCTTGTCTGTCAGTTAGAACAGCAGAACAGACTTCATCCACCGACACAAAGCATGTTTTACACGTTGAGGCTGTGAACCAGGTGAGTCAGGGTGCCTCCTCAGTATAAGGTCAACAATGACTCAACGAGGTGGAGCTCAGCTCAGGATGAATCGATTAAACCTCAGACGGCTGCTGTAGACCTGAAAGCACATTCTGAATACTAAACAGCTGGGAGGTGTTGAAAACAGGAATAAATGCTGTTCTGCTGCCATACACCAACCTTTTAATAGATCTGTGAGGGAGGAGACCTGCACGCTCTATCCCTCCATTGCTATGTGCGCAACCAGATTCAGAACGAGAAGGAGTTACAGTAAAGAATACCTAAAATGTCTGAGGAGCACCAAGACTTTTGGCCTCCACCAGTGAAGAGCCTGCTCCGCATGGCAGCAGGAGGGTGTTAAGCTCTAAAGGTGGGGTCTTCTCTAAAGAGGCAACAGGACCAGTCCCGCCACCAAGGGCAGGCATTGGTGTGCTGTGCCTACCCAGGACTGGAAAGTCTTTTATTAGTCTGTTTTTTTTACTCAAGAGCGGCCACCTTTCTATCATTCCTATCTCTGATCTGTCAATCCCACATTTCAACCAATCCAAACCAAAAGCAAAGGTTACTCTAGGCAACTACTGTACAGACTGAAAGTTTGGACGCACCTTCTCACTCAAAGAGCTTTTTTTATTTTCATGTCTATGAAAATTGTAGATTTACACTGAAGGCATCAAAACTGCTTTGATAAATGCAAACTAGTAATCAAAGCAAAAGGTGGCTACTTTGAAGAACCTAGAATATAAAACATATTTTCGGTGGTTTCACACTTTTTAGTGAAGTATATAATTCCACATGTTGTAATTCATAGTTTTGATGCCTTCAGTGTGAATCTACAATTTTCTACAAAAAAAAGAAGCATTATCTCCTGGTCAGACCCTGTAATTCAGTGAAAGGTTGGAATTAGAGTAAAAAAAAATATGCAAGAGGGGGTCACTCCAGTGGCTGGAAGTGGGAGGGAAATTGGCTGCCATTTGGCTGGGAAGGGCTATTTTGAATGGCTGCTACTGTAACTGTTGTTGTCTGCTGCTCATTGGTGCTCAAACTTGTTTTAGAATGGATAAAGTCCAACAAGCTTCTGGAATATCCTCTGCAGAGCTCTGGCCAAGAGTCAACCATCCAGTAGATGATTTGAGGTAATGTTGAAATATCTGGACATCCTTATTTTTTCCATCAAGATCATGAAATTGACCAGAAACAGATGCACTAAACAGTAAGATGCTTCCATCAGCATGCTTGACAGTCTGTACAGTGTTCTTAAGATTAAAATCCCAAACTATACAACCTTTCTCTTGTTGAGTTCAATCTGCCAAAGCTAACCATCTTGTCCATCTCTAGAAGGTACTGATCTTGTCTTTGTGAGAAGTAGGATGCTTTTAGTGCAGCCTAGAAGTTTCAGTTTTGGTCCTGAGGGGTTTTTAATTTGTTCATCATCCTGTAAGGCCATGCTGATGTAAAACTTACTTTGCAGTAGTACTGGTGTCCTAGCAGTATGCCTTTATGGCAGGCCAGAGCCAAAAGTCCATTGGTTAGGAAGCTGACCAAAGAACTTTTGGCCAGAGGAAAAGTTAGCGTCTAATGATTGAAATGACTGGAGCCTATCCCAGCAGTCAATGGGGGAGAGGCAGGGTACACCCTGGACATCCCCTCAGTCCATTGCAGGGCCACACAGATACACGCCAAAACCAACAACCATGCACACGAGAAGCCTTTCCTACTATTCGCTGGAGCTACGACAAAAGCAAGAGGTGTCAAGCTCTCAGACCAACTGAAACAACAATTTCGTCTAGCAAATAAGAGCAAGGGAATTTCAAGCATACCTTGTAGTGGTTTCTTATGGCACCAGCTGCTTTTTACGTTTTCACTGGCTAAAACCAAACTTTGGTAGGCAGGCATTCTAAGCTAAGAAAGTTTTGCTGAATGTTAATTATTGTTCCATGAATGGATTCCATGGGAGCAGGCCCTGACTGATAATGCATAGAGCTAAAATGAGCATGCAACACACTGTCAACTGGGATTGCCAGGTTAGAAAGGCATTAAAACATTGTGCAATTTGCTTAACTAAAATAAAGATAGTTCAAGTTTGCTTTAGTTTTTACATATGTTGTGTTATTCCTTTATCAAAACCAGGACCAAAAGGATATTTCGCTTGATTTGTGCGCAAGTAACTCCGCACTCTAAGCTTTAGCCCTTCCCCATGCTGTGAAATTGACTGGATTGGGCACATCTAAGGCTGCCATTCCAAGAAGAACCTACCTCAGTGCACATGCACTGCAAATTGCCCACTTTTTCCCCATCAGGCAGACATGATGAGAGTCAGAGAGCAATGATTCGGGCTCAAAATTAGAGTGGCTCTTTTAGGGGCCAATCTGCATCAGTGTTTGGGCCTTTCAAGCTCTCAGACTTTGTTCAGCCTTGGGAAGTGGCACGACACATCGAGGACTTCATGAAAATGGCAGCACACAAACAGGAAAAGACAGCTTTACTTTGAAGGCTAGTGTTTTTCTTCCAGGTTAGAAAAAACAAATATCTTAAAACAACCCATTGTGCTAGAAGCATTATTTTATCATGTATATATGCCTATAAATAACTTTGAAATGCTCTATTCTTACTTTTAAAAGAACGGAATAGTCGTCAAAAGCCAAACAGCGTTCATCCCCACAGTGACTATCCATGAAAGACTTCAAACTCTCGTTTTAACTGGAAGGTAAAACAAAGCATGTTTGAATCCGGTGACTATTCAGATGTTTGTTTTTAAGGAGGAGTTGCTGAAGGAAATGAATTACAGCAGATTCATACATTCTGGCTGGGAGCATCATGCCCTCAGTACTGTAATAGAGGCAATGCATCAGTTTTAGTGTCTGGTGATGAATCTGCAGAGGGGGCGACATAATCACGGCACACAGCAGGGCTGGGATGCAGAGGTCTGCGTAGACCAAGACTGATGAATTACAGCGAGGCACGACTAACTCAACTGGGTGAGGAGGGGCAATTACAGCTGATCAGATCCATCATCCTGCTGCATCCCGACAACAAACACATCAATACAAACCTGATGCATTTACAATGACCACCTGTTGTCACAGAACCAAGTGGTAAAATGCATCAAAATTCAACATGAGGTAACTTATTTGCATGTTCTTGCAAAAATTACTTAATGTGGAGAGATTTCATAAATCACAACTGCAACTGGCTTTTGAAGTGAAGAGGTCAACAACGTAATCTTATTCATTATTGATTCCAATAGAGATCAAGATCATCAAGCACAAGCTGTGAATAAATAATCACACCAAAGTGGAAAAACTCTGGAGCTGACACCAAACAAACAAAACAAGTCTGAAGGTAGGAATTCTTTTGTTTTTCCAAATTTGTAAAAACCATCAAGTTGCCCATTGGCTAATAGATTTCTTACCTTTAATGCTAAGTATGAATCTGAAATAAACTATAATGCTATTGAGTAGTTAGGTCTCTAAGACTTAAAATTATAAGGTAAAAAAAATTATTTTCAACATTTATTTTTCAGTTTAATGCTTTACTTTATGGAGAGATACAAATGTATAATGCTTCCAGAGATTTTTATCTTTGCTGTGGTCAATCACACTTTGTGTGCATCTGACTGTTAAATAGAGTTTTTAATACAAATAAAACCCCCCTAAACAAGTCTGAATCTAGCACGCATTACTGCTTTGGTGAACAGGGTTTACTGAAGCCAAATGCTGACTGAAATCTCTCCAAACACGTTCAAAACCAACTAGGTTTTATCACAGATTAAGTTTAACCCTAAGAGCTTCAGTTACTTGAAGAAAATATTTCTCTTAAACCTGGATCTATGTATTCTGTGGAAGACCAATGGCCACCTTTTTTCATCGACAAGATTGTTTTATGAGTCAAGCACTCAATTTGGCATTATACTCTAGAACACAAACTGCAGAAAGGTCCTCGAATAAGTGTTTGGGATAACCATTAATGTCAAGGTCTGGAAACTGGACCATTCCTAAAAAAAGACTTCAATATTCTTAAGCATCCACATTGGGTCTCCGTCTGGTTTCCTCACATAACTTAATTCCTAGAGAGACCATCCAAGAACCATGGAAATGGCAACAGACCCTTGAAATACCAGTGAAACA